TCTGTGTGGAGGAGATGGCGCCTGCCTACTACCCTGGAATTCCTCCTCCTGCTTCTACCCTCTACCTGGAGGGCTGTTCCTAGGACCCCCACCCCAGATCTTCCCTCTTCTCAGCAGAGTATCCCTTTATTCTCTCCCCAACCTAGTTAAGCCCCTGTTCCTGGCAGGTGGACAGTCTCTCGGTGACACCAGGGCCACTGGGTGTTCCTGAATTGATGGTATCTCAGCCAGGCTGTGCTTATGCAGTGCTTCTGTGTACCTGGAACAAGGATACTGGGTCCCCTGCTACCTCTGAGGGGGCCACGGAGGGCAGTAGGTAAGGAAGTATGGACTGTGAATGGTGTGGGGTACATGGAAGCAAGATGGGCTCCTGGAGGGCACGTGGCAGTGAGGTCTGCAGTTAACAGAGCTCTTTCATCTAGGTCCCAGCCCAAGCACCTTTCCCATTAAGGAAAATTACTTGGGATCCATGGAATCTTGGGCTTTAACCTTAGAGTTTCTGAAAGAGGTTCCAATTTTTTTTTTTTTTTTTTTTTTTTTTTTTTTGGTACTGGGGATTGAACTCGGGGGCACTCAGCTACTGAGCCACATCCCCAGCCCTATTTTGTATTTTATTTAGAGACAGAGTCTCACTGAGTTGCTTAGGGCCTCGCCATTGCTGAGACTGGCTTTGAACTTGAGATCCTCCTGTCTCAGCCTCCCGAGTCACTGGGATTATAGGCATGCGCCACTATGCCCTACAAGGTTCCAAAATTTCTACCTGGCAGCCCAAGCTCTCTTCTATTTGCCACATGGGCCAGGCAGAGTCAGGGATAAGTTTCCAAGCTGATTCAAGTCCTGGAAACTTACAGGGATGGCAGCTTCAAAGGGCCCAGAGAACTCAGCTTACTTGACCTCCCTCTTGGCCCACCTCCCTCCTGCCCACAGGGAGACCCCAGCTGCCCGAGATGTAGTGCTGCACCAGACTTCTGGCCGCATCCACAACAAGAACGTCTCCACTCACCTGATTGGCAACATCAAGCAAGGTGAGGATGGGTGAGGGGGAAGAAGGGAAGGAGCTGAGGGATAGCTGGTCAGTTAAAAGGGAGAAGAGATCTTGGACCTGACCTCATTTCTAGTCCCATCCTTTTCCTCAACCACAGGCCACAGTTCTGAGAGTGGTGGCTCTGGCCTCTTTGCCCTGTGCACCCTGGATGGTGAGCAATGCTGGGCTGCATTGGGTAGGTGTTTGCCTGTGGGGTCTGCTCAGTGGCCTGACCCACCCACCCCAAGCCCATGTCTCCCCCTATAGGGACATTGAAGCTTATGGAGGAAGCAGACAAGCTGCTGTGGTCAGTCCAGGTGGATCACCAACTTTTCGCCCTAGAAAAGTTAGATGTCACAGTAAGTAGAAATGGTGGAGAATAGCATTTCTGCCTTCATGGAGAGATGGTTTTTAAATCAAGCCATTCTCCTATTCAAATCAAGTCTCTTAGACACATCAAGTTATCTGGAGTTAGTGTGTTTCCTGACACCACAGTATTTATAAATTCTCTCTACTAGGCAGCTGGAAAATTTTCTTATTTCCATACCTTTCAGTAGAAGCAATAAATCCCCCAAAAAAGAAGTTACTGTAAGAGTCTATAAGTGAGCTGTTAGTCCCTATTACAGATGTGCATTTTGTAGTTTTTTTCTTTTCCATATGAGTCTATTTAATATGCTGTGCCTCTAAATTGGCAGATGGGGGCTAAACTTTACACTGCTATTGTGCATGCTTGATGGTTTTGAAGGCAGACCTGTGTTGGGGTCTTGCCTCACCCCTCTCCAGTTGAGTGACATTAGGCAAGTAACTATTTCTGAAAGCTGAAGTTTCCTCAGACTAAACTAGGGAATAATGTTTCCATCTCCATAGAGTTGCTGTGAGCATTTTTTAAAGTGGTTTATTTGACTTCGGGTATCAGGTACGTGGGAGTGCTTCCTCAACTCCCTGTTGGCCATCCAGAGCCAAGTTCATGGTCCTTTATATCTCATCCAGCTCCCATCATTAGATCTTTTTCTAAAACACCCCTTCACCACTTCTGCATCCTTGTCTTGGCCTTTTTCAGGGAAATGGGCATGAAGAGGTGGTTGCATGTGCCTGGGATGGACAGACATATATTATCGATTACAACCGCACCGTTGTTCGCTTCCAAGTGGATGAAAATATTCGCGCCTTCTGTGCAGGTGGGATTCTTCCCCATAACCCTTCTCTAAGTGCATTTGTATAAATAAGCATATTACATAGGCTAGGTAAATGTCTGCCTCTCATTTCCACTCTCGACATAGTCCCTAATGAAAGTCTTTATAAACAATTCAGTCCTTTAGCTCTTTCATTAGCTGCTGATGTATGGGTACTAGGTTGCCATCTTGGCAATTTTAGATTTTTAATTTTTTTAGTTGTAAATGGACACAATACCTTTATTTTATTTACTTATTTTTATGTGGTGCTGAGGATCAAACCTAGTGCCTCACACATGCTAGGCAAGTGCTCTACCACAATCTGAGCCACAACCTAGCCCCATCTTGACAATTTTAAGTAAGAAAAATTAAAAGATAATAAGGTCTCCATCTCTGAATATTTTCAAGAGTAAGAAGATTCTCATCATCTATTTTTCTGGAATGTGAGAAGACATTAGACAGTTCTTTTCTATCTGAACTTGCCAGAACTCTGTGAAGAAAATTCTCCTAGAGCAGAGCATTCTCATTATTATCAAATCAGGGACCTGGGGAAGTAGCGCTAGCTCTTTGAGTGACTAGGGGATATGTCTGATGACTGAAATGGTAAAAAGCTAGAGTGTACCTCAGTGGTAGGATCCTTACCCAGAATGTACAAGGCCCTTGGTTCCCTCTGTAGCACTACAAAACTAAAATATTATTTTAAAATGATAAAAACTGAACCATTCTCTGGAATACAAGTCCAGTGACTTGAAAGGTTGACATATATACCTTGAAAAAAAGGATTGACACCTAAGAGAAACTTTTCTTTCTGATCACATTTTACTAACCTATCTGTTAAACTAGCAAGGATGACCCTCATTACTCTAGAAACATCATTAAGATGGAAAAATCAGGGCTGGGGATGTGGCTCAAGCGGTAGCACACTTGCCTGGCGTGTGTGCGGCCCGGGTTCGATCCTCAGCACCACATACAAAGATGTTGTGTCCGCCGAGAACTAAAAAATAAATATTAAAAAATTTTTTTTAAAAAGATGGAAAAATCAATAAATACCACCTTTTTAGGTGCTGTTCTGCCTGTTTTTTTTACTATAATTTTTCTATACTTGGAATAGGGCAAATATTTTCTTTGTTTTCCCATTTTACTGAGTTCCCAATAGAGAAAAAATAGAAAGAGGGCCTTTGTTGCTTGACATCTGTGGGAGAGCCCAAACTGCTGATTCTGATGTTGAATCTTGCTCTTGCCTTCCTACGGGGACTCCAACTTGACCTTTGTCACATTGCCCACCTTCCAGGCCTGTACGCCTGCAAAGAGGGCCGTAACAGCCCCTGCCTCGTGTACGTCACTTTTAACCAGAAGATCTATGTTTACTGGGAGGTACAGCTGGAACGGATGGAGTCCACCAATCTGCTGAAACTGTTAGAAGCTGAGCCTGAGTACCACAGCCTCCTGCAGGAGCTGGGGATGGGTGAGTCCCAGGAGAGACAGGGGCCAGGTACCCAGGAAACCCACAGTCTCTTACCAGCCCCTTTTTGGCCCTCAGATCCTGATGACCTCTCTGCAGCCCGAGCCCTGCTTCACCAAACTCTCTACCATCCGGACCAGCCACTACCATGTGCTCCCTCAAGCCTCCAGGATCCCACCTAGCTGGGCTGGCCTCCTGTCTGGTGAAGAATCTTTCTGAACCCCCACTCCCACTCCCAAATGTATCTGTAATGTTGGCAGGATAGGGAATGTATTATTACAGAGAAGCAGGATTTGAGTCTTGACATGGAAGGATGGCAGCAACCCTAGGATGACCATGAACTAGAGACCTCTCAGTCTTTTTGGTGAAAGAAGAGACAAGGTGACCCTCTGCCCATTTCCTTATAGACCACATCCACCAGATCAGCCAAGTGGATCATGAAATTTTGGCCTCATTCAAAATCATTCAGGACACCCCTGCCTCATCCCTGAGCTCCCTACCCTCACTATGCAGAAAACAGATGTATCTATGAAGACAGAGTACAGATCTTTTGCATGGCCCCAGCACCCATAAGGAAACCAGACTTTAGATTCAAGGAAGCAGTGGATGTAGGGAATCCACCACCCAATCCTAAGTACCGTATTTCATGGCACAGCTCCATGTCATTGACATTAGTAATTAGTACAGGAATGGCCAATTCTTTGTTTTGTTTAGAGGGGTCTTTCAGGACATTTTACAGTGTAATTTTATTTGTAGTCCTAGCAACCCTGAGATGATTTTTCTCCATTTACTGAAGTAGTTGAGCCCGTATTTTCTTACTTTGCTGTTTTCCTTTTTCTTTGGTGCTGCTGGGGACTGAGCCCAGAGCCTCATACATGCTAGGCAAATGTTCTACCACTGAGTGATACCTCCTGCCCTGCCATAGTCTTAAGTATTGCTCAGCTTGATAGGCCTTGCTCCCATCTCCCCCACCCACTTGTTTCCCCCCACTTTATTGTCTATGTCATGGTGCTATATTTACAGTCTGATGCAGGTTTCTGATTAGAATTATATATTGGGTAATTTATATTCTTTCTGCCCTTGTTTCTCTTCTCTAAGTCTGTGTTTTTCAAGTTGTACATTGTAATCATTGGGTAGGTTGTGGCCAGCATATTTGAAATAAATGAACTAGAATAGAATAAAGTAAAATAGAAAATATAAGAATCCACTGCTCACAGTATAGATAAGTATTGTTTTGTCACAATTGTGTGTGTGCATTTGTACTGAGTGTATTTTACAAGCCATTGCTCTCCATTGTACTAACCCAATGGGTCAACCTGGGGAAGGGCCCCCATTCACTTTTCCTTCCCATAAGCCAATAGGGACCGAGTTGCCATTCATCTTTCAGTAGGTAGGTGGAGGACCAGAGAACAATACAGCATAGAGAAACAAGTGTTTATTCAAATGGAGAAGTAGCTAAGTCACGGCCTGCCTTGGGCCTGGGTCTGCAATTACAGAAGCAGCAGGAAAGACAGGGAAAGAGGTAGAGGTCATAGAGCAAGACAGTGAAGGAGAGGCAGTCCTTTAGGAGTTTTAAGACCAGGCACTATGACAAATAAGCTAATCAAGCCTTCCCTTCTTTTGAAACATCCCCAGACATTTGCAACCCATAAAATATAACTAATCAAAGTACTCAACCTTATGGGCTAGACATTCCTATACTAACTCCCTTCCTTATATTGAATTATTCCATTTTCTGTCTTTCCACACTCATCTGAACAGAATCAGAAGGGTAGGTGCCCAAAGAGCAAGTGCCAGAAGGGCCAGGGACCCAGGCTGGAAAAGCATGGCAGTCTAGCTGTGGGAGATAATGAGTCCCAGAAGTGAAGTAAGAGATGCAGGGTTAAGGGCAGTTGGGGTGGGGTTGGGGGCCAGTGAGGACAGGCGTTGACTGCAGCCTTTGAGTTCCATGGTCTGGGTTAATTCCTCATTCTTCTTAGCTCCCTTTCTGCAACACTAACTTGGTTTCGTTCTTTTTAGGATGGGGATGAGAGAGAACAGGGAAGCCCAGAGTCATAGGCCCTTTAGTAGAAACTTCCTGAAACAGAGGGCAGCTACTGAAAAGCAGAGAGGAAGGCAGCCAACTGAGAGAAATGGGACAGCGGGGATCAGGATGGTGAGAAGAAGGACAGATACAGTAGTCCTCAGCTACCCAGCTCAGATAATGCCCCCACATCATACATGGCTCTTCCTCTAAGGCAAGGTATTTCCCTCTGGGACCACCTGGGACAGAGGTCACTGGCCAGGCTCTTGGTACAGAGGCAGGAAGGGCAGCTCTGAGAAGGGGGCTTTCAGTCGCAGCACTCCACGTTCCAGGTCAATGCAGCACTGTGGGGTATGGAGTCCATGATCCGAGGTCACCTGTCTGCCAACCCAATCTTGTGTTCCCCCTTCCACTTCCCACAGCTTCCACCTGCTTTCTGCTGCTCCTTCTGCTTCCCATTTATCTGGACCCCAGTTCTCTTGACTTTTCCCTCAGAGCCTGACCTTCACTTCCACTCTGTGCTTTCCGCCTCTTTCTATACTTTGGATCAGGCCCCAAGTATGGTCACCTTACCTTGAGGGAGAGCAGAGTCTGCAGGCCCAGGCAGAATTCAGGACTGTCAACATCTGCAGAAACCATTGAAAAATGAGAGGCTGCATCATGGTCACTGCTGCACCCTCTCGGCACTCCCTCCTTCCCTGCCCACCCCAATAGCAGGTCTGAGAATACTGGCACAAAGCTCAGGATAGTCAGAGCATCCTTGGGGACTGGCAGTGGCTGAAACTGCCTTTGCCATGCCCAGAAGAGAAAGGTAGGAGAGGTGACAAAAGGCTGTTGGCAAAGGGAGAACTTACCCACCACCTGGGCTGAGCATGCCACCTTCTCCTGCCCTAGCTGGAGCTCCAGCTGCTCCACCTGGGTTGGCCCAGGTGCCAGGTCCCCACCTGGGGCTTTTAGAACCCTCTTCCCTAACCTGTGGTTAGGAAACAAGTGTTATAGCCACCATGGACTCCACACTCTTACTCCCAACCCCATTAATCGGCTATTACTGATTTATTCTCTTTCAATCCCTGATACCACATGGAGTCTAAATCCTTGTATTCCCTGCCTGAGCCTCCAACCCACTTTTTTGGGGTGTTAGGAATGTGACTCAGTAGTAGAATACTTGCCTAGCATGTTTGAGATCCTGGGTTCAATTCCCAGCACCACAAAAAAGAAAAAGAAAAAAGTATTTAAATAAATATGTACTTGCTGGACTTGGGGTGTAGCTTAGTGGTAGAGTGCTTTCTTAGCATGTGTAAGATTTCTAGGTTCAGTCCCCAGCACTGCCAAAAACTTAATAACAGCTTTATTGAGATAGTATTCATGTATCATAAAATTCATTCTTTGCATGTGTGCACACACATGCTGAGGGTTGAACCAAGGACCTCACACATGCTAGGCTAAATCCCATTCCTGAGCTAAATCCCAATCTGAGCTAAATCCCATTCCTTTTTATTTTATTTTATTTTATTTTAAAGTTGAGACAATCTCCCTAAGTTGCCCAGGCTGACCTTCACCTTGCAATCCTCCTGCCTCAGCCTCCTGAGTAGCTGAAGTTACAAGCATATACCTCTTTGCACCTAACTAAAATTCACTCTTTTAAAGTATGTAGTTTGGGGTTTTGTTTTTTGTAGTGCTGGAATCAAATCTCACTGTCTGCTAGTCAAGGCTTTTCCATTGAGCCATGAGCCAGCCCCAGGTCAGTGGTTTTTAGTACATTCACAGAGTTGTGCAAATATCACTATCTTATTTGAGGATATTTTCATCACTCCAAAAAGAAACCCCATCCCCATTCATTCATGTGGACCACACTCTTACCCTAGGCGGCTGAGACATCCAGTGGAGATCTGATTGTGTTGGGTTCCTGTGTTCACAGCCACTCTAAGCAGCTGGTCCTGGCACTAAAAAAGAAGAATTTGGGTGGATCAGTGAGTTTCTCGGGAAGAAGGATTAGAGTTGGGTTGCTGGGTGCAGTGGTACATGCCTGTAATCCCAGCAGCTCAGGAGGCTGAGGCAGGAGGATCGTTGAGTTCAAAGCCAGTCTCAGCAATTCAGTGAGACCATGTCTCTAAATAAAATATAAAAAGGGGCTGGGGATGTTGCTCAGTGGTTAAGCATCCCTAGGTTCAATCCCTGGACCTAAAAAAATAATGATTGGGGTTAAGGCTTCAGCTTTCCCAGCACTTTAATGGTTCTCTTAAAAATGAACATAGGGAATGAACTGAGTCTTCAAAAGGAAATTTTAGGGGAGTTATAATTGAAGCAAAACTGACTCTCAGGTAAAGAAATCAGAAAAGAAGCAGAGCCACACAGTGAGTCCATAAGTTGGGAATGATTTGGCCAGAAATGGTGATGTTTGCTTAGAGGTTGAGGCCTCCTGTTTAGGAATAGAGGAGGGATGAGACTGGAATCCCTTATCAGGAAACTTAGATGTGAGTAACCAAGAGGTGGTTCACCACTGCAAATAATGGAAGACAAGTTTGCTTTCTTTGGGATATTTACAGACATTTGGCTATACACTTTGATACACACACACACACATAGTTTTCTCATTCAAAATATTTATTAAGCATCTACAATGTAGAAGATATGCTGCTGGAAAGTACATCAGTGAATACTGTTCTTCAGGAATGTAAAGGAAGTAAAATATAACTCTGGTACAAAGGTGTTTTTGGTTTGAGGGGTTTTTTTTGTTTTGTTTTTGAAACACTGGGGATGGAACTCAGGACCTTGTGCATTACCATTGAGCTACACCCACAGCCTCGTAGAAAGTTCTAAAGTCTGTGAGAAGATTGAGTCAAGTGCCTTTTAGAGGTTGAGAGGGAGGAAAGCTATTTCCTACTTGGGGCATCAATAAATCTCTCAAGTAGGAGATAATATCTGAGCTGGGCCTTAAAGGACTGCAGAACTTGGACAGAGTGACTGGAGAACAGGAAGAGAGCTCTCTGGGCAGAAGAGCAGAAGAACATTTATTGGGAACAATTCAATACTGGGCTCTAGAGATGCCAGGGTCTTTACCTTGGAACATAGGTGCTTTTCCTGGGAGACTGCATTTCCCATACATGCATGCACCCTTCAGATATGTAGAGCAGTTGAAGAGGACTTAAGTATTCACATGTAAATATTACAATTTCAGGAGAGAAATGATATCGGGGTGATAACAGATGGAACTGCGGGAGAAAATGTGGGTTGAAACAGAGAAAAAAGAAGAAGGAGAACTTGTTTGGGGTCCAGGATAGGGGAGAAGTGCCCTTTTACCCTCCCTGTCTCTTTCCCTGCGCTCAGGGAGGTTTGTTAAGATCAGTGCCCTAGAAGGCCTCTCACCTTGCAGTTGACCAGAAGAGCTGGAATCTCTGTCCCACTGGTCTTCCTCTTGCTGTCCTGGCCACAAACCAGGGCCTGCACTAAGGGAGACTCCCCCTGAAGCCGACTCTGATTCCCCTCCATCAGACGTCTTTGGATCACGCTGTGCGGCTGCTGGCTCCATGACAAAATGAGACAGGCAGACAAGTGTAAGCCCAAGTATCTAGGCCACTCAGTTCCCCTATTTTACATACCCTAGAGTGCTCACCCACACCAAACCCACATCTCAGACAGTGACAGAGCAGGACTAGGGATACGACTGGGTGGTAGAACATTAGCCTAATGAGTGAGGCCCTAGGTTTAATCCTCAGTACCGCCAAAATAAAAAGAAAGAAAGAAAAGGAAAGGAGCCAACCAAAGATTCCATCAACCAGATGTTTATAGCAAAATGAAACCCAGGATCAGATCATGCCATTGTTTTGGGACCCCATTAGGTTTTTCAGCAATGAGGAAATGGAAAGAGGAAAATGACCCATTCTAGGTTAGATTGACCTATTGGCTAAAGGGACATTCCAGGAATTACTGTTAGGCTTGGAGGAACTTGGGTCTTAAGTGTACCCTTTTGTGGGGGTGGGGGAGAGGACTAATTTTGTCTTTTTTTTTTTTTTTTTCCTTTCTGTCCTCTTCCCAAAATGGGCTACAGATCCCAGATGGGGTGATGGAAAGAAGCAATGAAGTCTTCAGAACTGGGATGCTAGTGTTCACCCTTGCTAGTATTTTCCCTCATCCACTAACACCTTCACCCTGTCCAGTCACTTCCTAGATTCTACCAGTTTGCCCTCCTGTCGGTAGGGTCTGGCACTGCTTTCTGTTACTACTTTCCTCAGCCTCCCCATGGCTCATCTAAGTCACTGGGCCTCAGTTCACAAGCACCTGCCTCTGGCACTGTGGCCTTCCCAATACACCAGCTCTAGGCTTCCAGACTGACTTATCAAAAACCCTGCCACCCAAAGTGTGGTCCCCAAAGCAGCAGCTTTAAAAAGCATATAGAAGCCTGCTTAAAATGCAGAAATCTCAGACCTAGTCAATCAAAGTCTGGCTTTTGGGGTTTTATCTTTTTGCAGTGCTGGGGATCAAACCCAGGACCTCACATATGCCAGGCAAATGCTCTACCACTGAACCACACTCCCAATCCCAGAACCTCACTTTAACAAAACCCAGGTGAGTTGTGTATCCATTCAAGGTGATGACCCAGATCACCTGGCTGCTGTCTGAATTTTCCACTTCACCTCCATACCTTCACTCCTACTCACTCCTTCTCCCTGAAACCCTGCTTCCTCATTCTTCCCTAGGCCAAACTGGTGCCTGACTCAACATGCTGGATTCAGAAGAATGGTTCTTATTTTGCACCTGAGATTCCATGTGTACTCTGTAATTAGCGAAGGAACGACCTCCTCCAGGGTACCCTCTCTGGACTCTTCCTGCTCCTCCCCCTGCTCGTATTTCCCTTGGTTATGTTTCTCATAGATGTTATTTCTGGATTTCACTCCCCCACTACCCTGGAGAGCCTTTGAGGTCAGGTCTGTTTCTCATGTTTGTATACCAGGGCTTTACTCGACATCCAGTAGGTACTCAGTAAGCGCTTGCTGAAGAATGACTGCTCTCCCAGGCTCCACATGCTCTTCCACCTGCCCTCTCTCTTTGGGAGCCTGGGATTGTTTTTATACTCTTGGCCTCATGGGGCTCTAGAGGTTGCCTCCCAGCAGCAAGCTGCCAGCTCTGGGAAAAGTGCACTGAGCTCTGAACCAGCTAAAAAAAAAAAAGGGTGGGGGGAGTTCAGCAGTTCCCATCTTACACATTTCCCACGATGGCTCCAGGCTCCAGGCCTCTCCCACATTGTGCAGTGTGATCCGGAGCTATCCCAGGGAGAGAGACAGTGGGACCTCCCAACCAATTGCATCTTCACTCCCAAAGCCATAAGAGGTAATACTAGAGGTCAACTCAGGAGGTACCAAGGCAAAGGGCAGAAATGAGAAGCCCAGAAGCTGGAATCACCACTCTAGAATAGCAATGTTAATAGGGCATCTTCTCCACCACACAGATGTAGGATGGTCCCCAACAGATGCAGAGTCCTAGCCCCCAGGAGATAAGAACCTGCTTCCCTACTCCATCTCTTTTCTCAGATGTGCTCACTGTGTTTGCAAGGAGGACCAACCCTGGCTGTTCTCTGAACTCAAAGTTCAGTTAATCTGATCACTTTTCCTCAGTGGGGGCTGCAACAGTGGAGCTAGGGCATTGCCTGACCTCTGGGCTGTGTCCCTGGAGGGGGAAATTCAAGCTGGGAGAATAGGGAAAGGTAGGGCTAGGTCAGGAAAGGCAGTGAAGGCTGCATTTGCTCCCAGCTTCCCAAGAAGAGGTTGTTTACTTCAATAAAATATAATTCTATATCTTCTGGACCCTCCCTCTCTCAGGCTTACTTTATCTCTCAGGCTAAGTGGAATAGTAGCCGGAGGAATAATAATCACATTTCTCTACTGCTATTAGTGAGGCACACTCCTAAGTGCTTAATATGTATTGGCTCATATAACTCACAGCACCCTAGGAGATAGGTGCTCATAAATTTCTCATTTTTTTTTCTAGTAATGGGGACTGAATCCAGGGGTGCTGTGTACTGGTGAACTGCATTCCCATCCCTTTTCATTTTCTTTTGAGATAGGGTCTTGATAAATTGCTCAGGTTGGCCTCGAACTTATGATCCTCCTACCTCAGCCTCTGGAGTCACTGGGTTACCTGATGTTCTCATTTAACAGGTGAAGAAACTAAGGCACAGAGACATAAAATAACCTGTCCAAATTAGTAAGTGGCAAAGCCAGGATTTGATCACAAGCAAGGTGACTCCAAAGTCCATGCACTTCACCACCACTTCTCAGAGGATGGCTGGATATGCAGTTGGCCCAGGATCCCCTCACCTCCTCATCATTAACTCCCCTGTTCCATTCCCTGTGGGGGTCAAAGTTACTAGAGGGGGAGAGAACCTGGTAGGGCCTTTTCACCAGAAGTGAGGGAGAGGACACTCATGGGGACCAAGAAGCCATATGAAACCCTGATGCCCTAAAAGTGTGGAGGCCCTTGATGTTATGATTCTGAAGGGGAAAGGTAAATGAATGTGCAGGTATGAAGAAGTCTGTTTTGGGGAGAACAGGGAAGTCACAGCCCTAAAAATGGTAAGTCCTCTAGGCTTCCTGGCCTTGAATGACTGCTCCACAGGATTCCTGGGTCCCCTAAGCCTCTACCCCTAAACAGCATAGCTCCCCATCACCCCCCAAGATAAGCCTTGGGCTATTGGGTGGCAAGATAGGGGCAGCTGAGCAATGACAGTGGGCCCCACAGGGCTGCCCAGTCACAGGAACAGCCCCAGCAGAGAGCCTGGGAAGGGTCAGAGTGAAGCCCCTCCAGGTGGCCCGGTCTTTTCTCCCCCTTCTCAGCCAGGGAGAGGGAACCTGAAGGTTGAGGATCTACACTTTCTGGTCCTCCCAACCACCCTCCTCAGGATGTGGGGAGGTGGAGAGAAAGGGACAGGGACTTCCTTGGCCATGGGGTGGGGAGAGGGCCGCCTCACCAAATCCTTGGAGGTGCCGAGCCTCTTGAGGCTGTCCAGGGGGAGCAGGTCAGCAGAGTCCTTGTGGAGGAATTGAGTGGCCTGTTTGAGCCGTCGTTGCTGGCCCAGGTGGGCTCGGTCCTGCAGCTCTGCTTCCTGTCCCTTCCTCCTGGTGTCTCCCTCATCTCTCCTGGCCTCCTGCTGGGAGCTCATGGCCCCCCTCTGGGTGAGCCAGGCAGGGGCTTCGGGAGGGGGCCTCCCTGTGTCCTCTCTGCTCCTGTGTCTCCTTGCAGCTTCCTGCCTATCTTCGTGCCTGGACTGCAGCTCCCCTTCTGACAGGAGGGTCTCAGCAGGAAGAAAAGATGAAATAAATAAATAATGGGCAGGAGCAGCCACGTCAGACACCAATTTCCAGAGATTGCGGTAGAGGGAGTGAGGCTCCGGCTGGAAAAACCCAACCCCAGAGGAGAGGGAGGGCTGGCAGGGCCTGCAGCTGGCAGGTTCTGCAGAGTATCCAGTATATTCTGGGGTCCTGGTCGGAGTGGGCGGTGAAGGGGGGTGTGACGATGCTGTAAACTGCTAGGGTGCGCGTGTCATTGTGTAGGGGAGGCAGCCTGTGAGCTCTGCGTGTGGGGGCAGGCAGGCATGTCTGTATGCGCCCTAGACCTGGCTCTGCTCTGCATCCCTCCCAGGCTCCCGACCATCCGCTCCCAGCTACTGCTTCCTCCTGGAATTTTCTGCAGCCAGGGTTGGGGGAAAGCATGAAAGTGCACTTCCCCACTCCTTCCCCTGACCATTAGGGGCCTTACCTTGCTGGACTTCTCCCTTTCAGCGTAGCAGATGTCAGTCTTTAGCTAATTTACTCGGGAGTTTGGATTTCACACTGATGTGGTCTCTGTCCTTCCCCCTAAATTGTAAGGAGAACAGGAACATTCTAGCCTTTGAGATCTTTCTTCTTAGGGGCTGAAGAAATCCCTGTGATATGCTGGTGAAGAATGCCAAGGAATATTCTGAAGCTAGTCTGTATCCTTAACTGGGTTGTCTGTGTCTTTACCAATAACTCATCTTAGTCTCTTCCTTTCATTATTTTTTAACTTAACAGTTATAGAATTTTTAAAAAAAACATACTCAGACAAGAGGATTGCTAGAACCCAGAAGTTCAGAGTCAGCCTAGCAAAATATTAAGAGCCTGTCTCTAAATAAAATTAAAAGTCATGGGCTGGGGTTATGGCTCAGTGGTAGAGCACCCGCCTAGCATGTTTGAGGTGCTGGATTCCATCTTCAGCACCATGTAAAAATAAAAAAATAAAATAAAGGTATTAAAAAAAGTGATGTACAAGGTCTTGGGTTCAAACCCCAGTACCAAAAAGAGAGAGAAATAAAGCAAAACAGAAAACCAATTATTAACAAGGAATAACTACTACATTGATTTCTAATAATGAGACACTGGGGATGAAATTTCCAGGAACACTACTCAGGAAAATTAAACCATTCTGAATAATTAGGAATAGAAGTGGAAGTTTTTCTTTCTGAAAGAAAAAAAAAACTTGGAAAATGTCTTCTTTCTCTCATCTTGTGGTTCACAAAAATCTTGAAGCAAATGAATCTAAATTTAGAAATTCTGAGAGGAAAAACTCAAAGTGTGAAATATAGCTCCTTCACTACATTTGTTCTCCTTTGAATGAAGTTTTCCTTTTATTCACCAAAAAAATATCTGGGTTGAGGGTCTCGCTCAGTGGTAGAGCACTAACCTAGCCTGCACGAGGCCCTGGCTAATCACTGCGGGTAGGGAGGACTTTTCAGAAAATATTTATTATCTACTCTGTGCCAGAGCAAAGCACAGAGTAAGGTCTTAGCTGTCATGAAATTCACATTCTGATGAGGAAGCCAGAGAACAAGCAAGTAAATTGATAATGTCAGGTAGTAATACATGCTGAAGAGAAAGCAAGGTGAGAGCACAGAGAACCGTGGAGGAGCAGTGATAGGAGTGGCTCTTTAAAGGAGAAGACATTATGCAAAGACCATCATGGAGCCAGCATAGTGGTGGTGGTGGCCTGTAATCCCGGCTATTCAGAAGGCTGAGGCAAGAGGATCACATGTTCAAGGCCAGCATGGACAATTTAGTGAGACCCTGTCTCAAAATTTAAAAAAAATAATAATTAAAAAAAAAATGACTAGGGATGTAGGTCAGCAGTAAAGCACCCCTGTATTCGGTCCCCAGAAACACACACACACACACACACACACACACACACACACACAATGCTGGAGAAGGCTGCATAGTTACCTGGAGGCAGGACACTCCAGACAGAGAGAGGAGTGCAAGTTATACAGACCATAACTTGCAGGCGGGGAGAGTACTTAGTCCCCACACCCCCACTGAAACACAGGGACAGATGGGCACTCACCATCCTCTGTGTCTGGCCTGGCCCTCCTGTGACCAGTCACTTATACCAGAAGAAGAAGACTAACTAGGGTATAAAGCTTCCCTGGTGCTGTGAGACAGCACGGCTACCTGTCCATGCTTGTCTTCACTGTCCTCCACACCCTTTTTTTTTTTTTTTAATATTTATTTTTTAGTTGTAGTTGGACACAATACCTTTATTTCACTTATTTATTTTTATGTGGTGCTGAGAATCGAACCCAGAGAGATCGCACGCGCAAGGCGATCTCTCTACTGCTGAGCCACAACCCCAGTTCTTCCCGCTGGATCTGTCAGAACTGCAGGAGACCGGGGTCCCTCTGCAAAACAGTGAACATGGAGTGCTGTTGAGTGTGTTCCAAGCTCAGTGAGTGCTGTGAATCCAGGTGTTTTGAGGGACAATGAAGGCTGAAAAGGCACCAGCCTCACAGGCCCTCAGGCTTGAAGTTCTTCTAGAAAACTTTGGATAAAACCAGACTATAACTTTTATTTTCCATTGAGTGTCAAATAGTTATTACTGATTATACTTTGTGTGTGTGTACGCATGCTCGGTGCTGGAGATGGAACCCAGGGCCTCATGAATACTAAGCATGCACTGGGTCACTGCCCCTATTGATGATTCTAGACTAGTGCTGTCCCATACAGTCATTGAGCACTTGAAACTGAGATGTTATCTAAGTATCAAATACATACTGGATTTTTAAAGCAATACTAAAAACAATGTTAAACATTATTTTTAGGTAGATTACATTATTGTATATGGGTAATATTTTGTATTTATTGGGTTAAATAAAATACATTGTAAAATTAACTTCACTTGTTTGCTTTTAATGCAGCAACCAAAAATTTTTACTTTTTTATTTTTTATTGCAATACTGGGGTTAGAACCCAGGGCCTTAAACATGTACTGCTGACCCTTACCTCCAGCCCCTGCAACTTAAAATTATTAATTTCAAAAAACTTTATATATATATATATATGTTTCCATTATATTTTTATTGGACAAACACTGTCTTAAATAGATTTCACAAGTGCTTGCAAGACCCTGGGTTTAATCCCCAGCATCACAAAACCAAAACAAAAATATATGTTTAGCCAGGCAAATTGACCTGTGCCTGTAATCTCCTTACTCAGGAGACTGAGGATCACAAATTCAAGGCCAGCCTGGACAACTTAGTGAGGCTCTGTATCAAAATGAAAAATAAGAAGGGCCTGGGGGTATAGCTCAGTGGTAGAGCACCCCGAGTTCTATCTCCAGTAACACAAAAACAAAACAAAACAACATATGTCTATAGGTCTGGGAATGTAGCTGGTGGTAGAGTGCTTGCCTCACCTAGCATGTGTGAGGCCCTGAGTTGGATCTCCAGCACTACAAAAATAAAAAATGGGGGCTGGGGATGTGGCTCAAGCGGTAGCGCGCTCGCCTGGCATGCGTGCGGCCCGGGTTCGATCCTCAGCACCACATACCAACAAAGATGTTGTGTCCGCCGAGAACTAAAAAATAAATAATAAAAATTCTCTCTCTCTCTCCTCTCTCACTCTCTCAAAAAAAAAAAATGATGAATTTCACAGCTTGTTTCCTCTAACCTGTTATAATTTATTCCAGCATCTCTCAGCACGATCTAAGGTGAATCCTTGGAGCTATGTGGAAGTCCCTGACCTGTTGTTCAAGCCCCAGAAGAAATGGAGATTAACTGATTAACTGCATCCCACCTTCTCTGTGTTATCCTTCCATAGTTTTTGTTTGTTTTAGTATTAGGGATTGAATTCAGGGGTGCTTTACTAATGAATCACATCCTCAGTCCTTTTTATTTTTTATTTTCAAAGAGGGTCTCATTAAGTTGCTTAAGGCTTCACTAAATTGCTAAGACTGCCCTCAAACTTGTGATCCTCCTGTCTCAGCCTCCTGAGTTGGGATTACAGGTGAGTGCCACCCTGTCTGGCCTTCATGTCTTTAAATCTTCACACCTCTTCTTCCCAGTGTTCCTTCCTTAAGCCTGAATAGTGCCCATTCTTATCTCTCCTGATAGGGATGTAAGGAGAGCTCATCTGGAGCCAGTGAAATCACCCACCCAAATGTCCTGCCACATAAGGAAATTCCCAGAATATTCTTGATAGAATGGGTTATTCAGAGCTAGACAAACAGCTCCCTTGAGCCAGTGGAGAGTCAAGGGCAGCCAGTTCTATTTCAGACTTTCTCCTCTGGGCCCTCAAATCTGCCAAAGACAGGAATGGAGTTGTTTTCCAGAACTGTCCTGCCCAGCAAAGGTCCCAGGAACCCTGTGACGGTTCTGACATTTATCACTGGTGCTCACTGAGCTACAGTCCCAGCCCTATTTATTTCATTATAGTGATTAAAAACATATTTATAGGGGCTGGGGAGCATGCTTGCCTAGCATGCATAAGGCACTGGGTTCGATTCTCAGCACCACATACAAATAAATAAAAAAAATAAAAGTCCACCAACAACTAAAAAAAAAAAAAAAATTCATACAGTTTCCCCATTAAGATTCTTTTTGTTTGGTTTGTTTTCTTGTTATTTGTTTGAGATGGAGTTTCACTATGTTGCCCAGGCTGGAACTGAACTCCTGGGCTTAAGTGATCCTTCTGTCTCAGACTCCTAAGTAGCTGGGGCTACAGTTGTGTGCCTATGACTCCCTGCTATGTTCTCCAATCTAGATTCTTCAAGTACCCTCAGAAAATCTGGTAAAGTTGCCCAAATCTTTCCAAATATTCTGGACTTCCAGGCTCTAGCAAATATTCCTGCCTTACCTTTCCTCTGGCTGAAGTGCTTCTCTTCCTCACTCTTTAGTTTATCCACTTTCTTTCCTACCTCCATTCCCCTTCATTTTTCCTTCCTCCTTGCCTAAGCTTTGGGCCTTCCGTTGTTACCCTTTTTCTAATTATACTTGGGCTCAATAAGTCTCTGGTTACTGACCAGGAATCAACTCATGATAGCTCGTGGCAGTGCTAAGGAACATTCAGTGAAAACGCTGGTGGCTTAAGRGAAGCCATACATTCAAACCCCTACCTTGGCATTTGAACACTGACAACACATGGAAGATTATGTACAAGGATGTAAGCATTTGTAAGTCTCTGTCACAGGGCCTGCAGAGGAGGTGTTGGCTCAGGGACTGACAAAATGTGCAGCTCTATGAATAGCCACAAAGCCCATTATCTGTTGTGATAAATAGGTGGCAGTAAATACTGCCACTGTGTGATGGAGAGAGTAAAACACATGGCTCCATGGAGAGCACAACTAAGGAGAGAGCTCAGTTGGGTCAGAGAGAAGCATGAAGACAAAGGGCTCTGAGCAAGGGAATCAGCCATGAGCAGAAACAGGCCAGAGGTGGCTGGGAACGTGGGAGCTGAGTTGGTGGCAGCTTGCAGAGAGGAATTTGAATCTGATCTGTCATTTTGGGGAGCAGCTATGTT